TCTGTTGTCCATGTTGTAGAAATGATCCTCTTGTGTTTGGATGCTGATCATCTTTGTCCAAGCTGGATTTGTCTCAGTAACCCTTCTCCTCTTTTTCATGTTTTCAGGTTCATCAGCAGAAATCCGTCTGACTCAGTCTGATGGATCTCAGTCTGTTGTTCCAGGACAAACTGTCTCCATCACATGTAAAGCCAGTTCTTATGTTTCTGATGATGTGAACTGGTACCTTCAGAAGCCTGGAGAAGTTCCTAAGCTCCTTATTCATGATGCTACTTACCGCCTGTCTGGAGTTTCTGATCGTTTCAGTGGAAGTCAGTCTGGAAATGACTTCACTCTGACCATCAGTGGAGTTCAGGCTGAAGATTCAGGAGTTTTTTACTGTCAGCAGGATTACAGCTACCCGTTCACACAGTGATACAACGTCGTACAAAAACCTCCCTCAGCTAAAGAGGAACTGATCTGAATCAACAGCTGCTCAGAAACACAAACACTCAGACTGATTCTCTCTTTACAATAGAACACAATTCAAACACTTTCCACATTATTTCTCATGTTTTACATTTTATACCATCAAATCATGTTTGTCAAATACCATTTATTTTGTCAAATCGACGAACATTGTCAGCATCTTTTAGTTCAATAAATGTTCTTAGCAAACCCTGAAATACAACTCAGCACACAGCTACGTGCAAAACCTTTATATGTTTATTATGTCATCACTTAAATTCAAAAAATAATAATACAAAGCCAAAGATTTTTTTTTTGAATTAATTAATTTACCTACAAACATAATTCAGCAAAATGTGACTGAAGCTCCACATTGATAATATACATGGACCCAACTGATTTAATGAGAAGGTGTTTACTATTTTAACACTTTATCAGCATGACTACAAATGATGAAAATGACGTGTTAATTGTATAAAGTGATATTCTCTCATCTGCTTTAAAAGACTCCATCAGTTTCATGTTTCACTGTATGCAGATGACATCCTGCTTTGTCTTTCTAAACCCAAGATCATTTCTAATTATTCAGACAAAGAACTTCTTCATGGTTGAGTCAAAAATAGATTAACATTAACAATTCATGATAAAATGTAACTTTTTTTGGGGTTGGGCTAATCTAAATAATAATACTACTAAAAGGTGTAGATGAGAAACAACACAAGTCAACAGTCGTGTTTTCTTGATTCATTTTTATTGTTTTAAAATGTTTGAACCATCAGAGTAATAATGAGAGTAGAGAGAGAGAAAGTTACAGAGAGCAAACAGAGAAGAGCATGAGAACAGAACCAGTGTGATGTTCCAGTGAGTGAGGTCAGGACTGGGAACACTGGTCTCTCCTCAGTGTCTCTGAGAGCGGAGTCTGGGAGCCCTGGGTGGCCTCACAGCTCACAGAGCCCACCTTCCTCCACTGGT